ACACACCAAGTAATCTCCAGACTAATTGGTGAGTGGTATTAAGATAAATTCTCCTTCAATGTATATGTAGTCATTTATTAAAATTAACATACAGTCCACATATTTATATTAATGTTTTACCAGAATTCCTAGTGATGTATATTTCATTTGAAATTAATATAGGTCCAGAGTAACTTGTGGAGATAGAGATTGTAGTAGGTATCGAAGGGGGACATCTTTTGCGAGCTAGGTGTCCTAAAATTCCTACATGTCTCTGTAGCCTTGATAAAGAATAATTATCTTTGTTATCATTTACTGATATGTATCTTATGAGGTACATCAAGGAAAATTTTAATTTTCCATAATATTAACAACTAGCTTGGATGTGATTATATAACGATGAGCTTGGATGTAATTTTAACGATCAGCTTGGATGTAATATCAACGACCAGTTTGGCTGTGATATAACTACCAGCTCAGTGTTGTCTCAGGAATTCCACTTTTTTCCTTCACTCTTATGCTATAATTATATTGGTTAACAATGGTTTCAGTTCATGCTAATAAACACGTCTTTTTAACTAATTTTATGATGCTGAGCTGAAGTCTTATTCCAACACAAACAGTTTCTGTGAAGCACAACCACATGGTGAACAGTTTCACTCCAAAGTATAGATATTACGAAGAAGAAATATCAAGGCAACCTGAGGATCAGTGTGATGGTCCTGCTGGACGCTGCTGCGCCAGCCGTACTAAACAAGCCATAAGAACATAAGAACATAAGAAAGGAGGAACACTGAAGCAGGCCTGTTGGCCCATACTAGGCAGGTCCTTTACAATCCATCCCGCTAACAAAACATTTGCCCAACCCAATTTTCAATGCTCCCCAAGAAATAAGGTCTGATAACTCTATCCACTCATTTGCAAGTCCCACTCAAATCCAACCTCTCTCACTCAAATATTTATCCAATCTAAATTTGAAGCTACCTAAAGTCCTAGCCTCAATAACCCAAGTAGGTAGACTGTTCCACTCATCAACTACCCTATTTCCAAACCAATACTTTCCTATGTTCTTTCTAAATCTAAACTTGTCTAATTTAAATCCATTCCTGCAGGTTCTCTCTTGGAGAGATATCCTCAAGACCTTATTAATATCCTCTTTATTAATACCTATCTTCCACTTATACACTTCGATCATGTCTCCCCCCATTCTTCGTCTAACAAGTGAATGTAATTTAATAGTCTTCAATCTTTCTTCATAAGGAAGATTTCTAATGCTATGTATTAATTTAGTCATTCTACGCTGAATGTTTTCTAACGAGTTTATGTCCATTCTGTAATATGGAGACCAGAACTGAGCTGCATAATCTAGGTGAGACCTTACTAATGATGTATAAAGCTGCAGTATAACCTCTGGATTTCTGTTGCTTACACTTCTTGATATAAATCCCAATAAACTATTTGCCCTATTACGTACACTTAGGCACTGCTGTCTTGGTTTAAGGTTACTGCTCACCATAACCCCCAAGTCCTTTTCACAATCTGTATGGCTAAGTTCTACATTATTTTATTTATAAGTGCTAGGGTTATGGACACTCCCGAGCTTCAGAACCTTGCATTTATCTGCATTGAACTGCATCTGCCACTTTGCTGACCATGTACTGAGTTTGTCTAAATCCTCCTGAGGTTCCCTGATATCTACGTTTGAATCAATTATCCTACCTATCTTTGTGTCATCGTCGAATTTGCTCATTTCTCTAGTAATTCCCTCATCAAGATCATTGATATATATTATAAACAACAACGGGCCCAAGACTGATCCCTGTGGAACGCCACTGTTACAGATCCCCACTCGGATTTAACCCCATTTATGGACACACACTGCTTCCTGTCTGTGAGCCATGACTCGATCCACGAGAGCACCCTTTCCCCAATGCCATGAGCTGCCACTTTCTTTAACAGTCTCTTGTGCGGAACTCTGTCAAAAGCCTTAGTAAAATCTAAGTAAATAATATCAAATTCTTTATCGTGGTCAACAGCCTCAAAAGCTTTACTGAAGAAAGTTAATAAATTAGCTAGACAAGAACGGCCTCTTGTGAATCCATGCTGAGTATTATTTATCAAGCTATGCTTATCGAGATGGCTTCTTATAATCTCAGCTATAAATGACTCTAGTAATTTGCCTACAATTGAGGTCAGGCTTATTGGGAGGTAATTTGACGGTAACGACCTGTCCCCTGTTTTAAAAATAGGAATTACATTAGCCATCTTCCACATATCAGACACTACACCTGTTTGAAGAGATAAATTAAAAATATTAGTTAATGGTTCACAGAGTTCCATTTTACATTCCTTAAGAACCCTTGAAAAAACCTCATCAGGACCCGGCGACTTATTTTGCTTCAGTCTGTCTATCTGCTTCACAACCATTTCACTAGTGACTGTTATGTTACATAATTTATCTTCTTCAGGCCCACTATAAATATTAATTACTGAAATATTGTTAGTGTCTTCCTGTGTAAAAACCGAGATAAAATAATTATTTAAAATCGAGCACATTTCATTCTCTTTGTCAGTAAGATGCCCATAGTTATTTTTAAGGGGACCTATCTTATCTCTAACTTTCGTTCTATACACCTGGAAAAAACTTTTTGGTTTAGTTTTCGAATCCCTAGCAACTCTAATTTCATAGTCCCTTTTAGCTTTTCTTATCCCCTTTTTTACGTCCCTCTTTATGTCAATATACTGACTCATAAGATGACCCTCACCTCTTTTGATACGCCTATAAATTCCTTTCTTATGCCCTAGTAGATATTTCAGCCTAGTAGGTCATTTATATTTGATCTAATTTCTTTATACGGGATAAACGTTCTTTGAGCAGCATGTATAGTGTTCAGAAAACTGTCATATTGATAGCTCTCTTCGTTACCCCAGTCAACAGATGACAAGTGTTCTTTAAGCTCATTGTAATCTGCTAAGCGAAAATCTGGAACACTTACTGAGTTGTCCCTACTATCATACTTCCATTCGATGCTAAAGGTAATTGATTTGTGATCACTTGTGCCGAGTTCCTCATTAATTTCTAAATTATTAACAAGGGTTTCTTTGTTTGCTAGAACCAAATCAAGAAGGTTATTTCCCCTTGTAGGTTCTGTCACAAACTGCTTCAAAAAACATTCCTGAACTACTTCTAAGAAGTCACTTGATTCTGAATTCCCAGTCAAGATATTCCAATCAATGTGACTACAGTTAAAGTCCCCTAGAATTACTACATTATCGTGCCTTGTGGCCTTAACAATTTCCTCCCACAGTATTTTCCCTTGTTCCCTATCTAAGTTTGGGGGACGGTATATCACTCCTAAAATCAATTTTTTATGCCCCTCTGAAAATTCTATTCAGACAGACTCTGTATGTGTTACCTCAGACTTAATACCCGTTTTTATGCAACAGTTCAAGTGATCTCGGACATACAGTGCCACCCCACATCACTCCCCGATATTTTTATCTACTTGGAACAATTTAAAACCCTGAATGTGACATTCCGAAGGCATGTCCGGAGTTTTGGAATTAAACCATGTCTCAGTGATTGCAAATACATCAATGTTACCTGCACTAGCAACTAATCTCAACTCATCCATCTTATTCCTAGCACTACGGCTATTAGCATAATATAATTTTAAAGTCCCTCCTTTCCCTTTACCCTTTCTGCTCATAACTGTTTTTTCACTAAACCTATTACTGTCCTTGTTGCCTAGTGCCATTGGCTTTCAAATATCCACTTCATTCTTCCTATTACTAGTTCCCCTAGAACTCATAGTTTACTATACTTGGACTTAACTGTATTTTCGTCAAAACCCATACCACTTACTATTCCTAGTTTAAAGCCCTAACAGCTCCCTCCACTGCCGTTGCCAGTTCCCCCACCCCAGACCTAGATAAGTGAACCCCATCCCTGGCATACATGTCATTTCAGCCATAGGAGAGGTCCCAGTTGTCAATGAATGTTACCGCATTCTCCTTACAGTATTTGTCCTGCCAGCAATTGACACCAATTGTCCTGGACAACCATTCATTTCCAACTCCTCTCCTTGGCAAAATACCACTTATGACAGGGTTCCCACCCTTCTTCCTAATTATCTCTATTGCTGACCTATACTTGCTAATCAGGTCCTCACTCCTACATCTGCCAACATCGTTGCCTCCTGCACTGAGGCAGATAATAGGATTGCTCCCATTACCTTTCATGATGTCATCCAGACGGCTAACAATATCCCCCATCCCAGCCCCAGGAAAACATACCCTGAGCCTCCTCTTCCTGTCCCTAAGACAAAAGGCCCTAACCATAAACTTAACCTGACTGTCTCCAACTAAAACAATGTTCTTACCTTCATTTGTAGAATTTGTCATGACATTCTTGATGGTCTTCATTGGGGTATCAAGGGATGTCTCACTCATGCCTGCCAATGCTCCCTTGGTGCTCGTTGTGACGTTCCCAGTAGAGAACCCACATTCGTCTGGTAACACCGAAAATGGGTTGGAAGTCTCCACAGCAATCTTCTGGATCTACGTTATTTACGCCACTCCAACAGACTTCTTGATTTTCAGCTTTGTTCCATGTTGGCCGGCCACTGACCAGGTTCCTCTCTTGACCTGAGGACTCACAACAGGAGGATTACTTCGAATCCTCTTGTTTTCCTCCGTCAGTCGCCGTATCTCAAGCTTAGCAACCCTAAGCTCCTCTTTCAGCTGCTGGTACAGTGACTGGAACGATACACAAATAACCCGCACATAGAAGAGAGGAGCTTACGTCGACGTTTCGGTCCGACTTGGACTATTTATAAAGTCACACACTGAGAAGGATTATGTCTGTCATTACATGTATCACACTTAGTAGTTATGGATAATATAATTCCTATCATCGTTAAATAACATATCTCGTGATTCTTCAATCTTTATGAGCCAAAATATTGATCATAAAATTAAAAAATAACTTACCATAACAACCTTATAATTATCTTCCACAGGTCTGCCAGATTTGTCACAATGGATCATTCTTAACATCCAAGAATCCGGCTTTTACAGAGTTAATTACGACAAAGTCACCTGGCAGCTCCTGAATAATCAACTGGCTACTGACCACAAGATTATACACTTGGTCAATCGTGCCCAGATACTGGACGATGTCTTCAACTTGGCCACAGCAGGTAAGCGTCTTCCTAATTTATTTCCGTTTGGATATTACTTTTTTTTTTTACCTAAATGAGTTACGATTATTTTTATGTATTTTTTGTTTCGAAAATGTTTCCTTCGGTTTATTTTATTAATATTTTCTACTAGATAAGTATGATTTTTTCCATTACTTCACACTTTCGTTTAAGTGACAACTTGAAAATATTTGTTTTTTCATGAAATCTTATTGATACCATAGATTTAACCTCCTTGTTATTTACAGTTCATATGTAATTTCCTTCTTGTAATAAATACTTTTCTCCAACTTGCGTGCAGGTGTAGTGGACTACGGCACAGCGCTCGCCACATCTGTTTACTTACAAAGAGAGGAAGACTTCGTCCCGTGGAAAGTTGCTCTTACGTCATTTACTTACTTAATGAACATGTTTGAACGTACTGCTGGCTATGGAGCTCTCAGGGTAGGTTAACAAAACACGTTTAAATCTTCATACTTAGTATATAATAATGTTATCGAATGGCATGGGGAACTCGTCAAATTCTTCTTCCATTGACGCTATTTGTGAGTAACTAAAACCTGATTCATATACAAATGCTCTGAATTGTTTCAAATATTGTTTTAATTTTACCTCCCATTTTGGGAAAAGACCAAAGTCGGCGGGATAAACTTTGGGGGTGTTGCTCTTAAATATTAAAGTCTACCGGCAATATTATCTGGGACCTAAACCCGTCTCCTGCCTCCCTACCTTATTTTTTTGGCAAAAAATTTTCCTCCGAAAGAATTTTTGGGAAATCCTACAGTTTTTCAAGAAACTGCAAGCTGCATATATATATATATATATATATATTTTATACGTATAAAATTATATATAAATATTAAATAAATATAAAAATAAAAATATATATATAAAAATTAAAAATTTATAATATTAATATAAAAACAAAACACCACTGTGAAAAAATTAGAAAAATTCCAAGCGTTTTTTCGTGACAAACTCAAAATTATAAAGGGAAACAATAAAAGAAAATGCATCAGGGGAAAGGGAAATATGAAGGGTCTAGACCACCCCTCATTCCCCACTTTCCCAAAAACAACAAAGAAACCCACCTAAAACCTGCGACTCATAAGAAAGGGAACCTCCCAGCGGGCCTCGCGGGCCCCAACTAACAGGCCCTTCACACAACCCACAAACAAACTTTTCCCTCCCCAAAAGAACTAAGAATTTTAAATTTTTTAATTTGTCCAATGTATTAAAATTCCCCCCAAAAATTCTATTAATTAAAAAATGGATCAAATTTCTAAAACCCCAAAAGGGAAAAACATTCAAATTATTGTAAAAAACGCTTTTTTTTGAAACAAAAAACAACAACATAAAATTAGTTTCTTATCTAAGAACTCTTTAATTATGATTTACCATTGCCTTCCCCTACTATCATTAAACTTTTTAAAACTTTGAAAAGTTGATGCAAAATTTGAAATTTAATGAAATTTTTAAAAACTCAAAATTTTTTGGTATGGCAAGGGGAAATCCCTTCCCTGTTCTTAAAAACCTATACAGGGATTTTTTTTAAAACCCAAGATTGCTTACCCAAAAATCCCCCCCAAATAAAAGCAAAAATTTTTGTTGGATAGAAACACGGGCCTTTAATCTTTTGGGCTTTATTGAACATGGGAATCTTCAAAAGTACTTCTGCAACAAAAAAATTTATAATGACAAAGTACATCAATAATGGCTTCTACGGGGATGGGGTCTTTTTATGTCAAAAAGAAAATTTTAAACTCCCGGCCACAAAATTTAAACTCCCCATGAAATTTCTGCATCGGTGATAAATGGAAAAAGGGAAAGGAGAAAACCCACACACCATTTTTTGGGTCCCCCTGACGCCCCGCCAAACTTTTTTTGTTGTTAAGGGCCCCTAGGGGTGGTGCAGAAATTACCCGCTGCTGCCCCCGGGCCCCGTATCACTAAAATCCCCCCCTTCAAAAATATCAGAGACAGAAATTTTCCCAAACTGTTAGGGGGGCGACGTCACTTTCCCCCCTTTTCGTAGCCCTTACCCTCTTCACCCGGTTGATTTTTTTCCCCAGGGGGTTTTTAAATTAACGGCGGAGCAGAATCCTCTATTTCCATGGGGAAAGCCCCAAGGGGGGCTTTCCAGGAGAAAAACAAAAGCATCTTTAAACATCTTTTGGGTATCTTAAATTTCCCAAAACACAAAAAGGGTTTTCAACTGGGGCTAAATGTCTTGTAATACGGGTATCTCTCACCTTTGGTACGAATGTGGGCGAAAATGTATTAGCTTGCAGGAGCTCTACCTTTTCCACTAAAGGACCCCGTCTTTTTCACCTACGGTGACTTTTCGGAAAAGGGGTCCGGGAATAACATAACCAATGGCACGGGGCTCCCGAAAAGGGGAAAACACGTGAATATTGAGGTTTTTCATGGGGGGTTGCTTTTAGTAGCTGTGCACAGCAGGATCAATAGAGGAAGTGCATCGGGAAGGACATTTTGGGCCATGTTGAACGGGTTAAATTGCGCGTTTTAAATTAATTGTAACCCCCCCCTTCCATTAGTACCATTGAACCGCTCCACTTAAACCTTGCCTTGGGGGGTTGTAGCTTGTTGTTCCCCCTGCGGGCAATCCCTTTTGCTAGCCAAAAATTCCTAATTTTCGTTTATCAAAAAACAGGATCCCCTTTTCTGAAGGGGAATAAGCGGGCAAAACCCAAAAATTAGAGAAAAACTGTAAAAAGAAAACTAATAACAGTTGAAGCACCCAAATTTTTCCCACGGGGGAATAAAAAGGGGAAAACCCTTGAATATTCATTTTCTATTTAAGGAAATCCCTATTTGATTTGTTTTGGGTAGGGGTCCTTTGAAATCTATATTCAATCTTTTCGAAAGGCTGGTGATTTTATGAGATGAGTCTTCTTGGCTGATGAAATTTTGGCGGGCACCTGCACATACTCTGAAATCCTCTGACACTTGTCCGCCATCTTCCACTGAGTGGGGCATGTTCTTTGATTTGACAAAATGGTACGGGCGTTAACTCCGGGGTGACACAAACCCTTGTGGGAGCTGAGAGTGTTGAAATAAAGACAGCTCCCCACAGTGGGACCAAGAAAAATCCCATCAGGTGAGATTTTCCCTTGCCCCCGGTGGGAACAAAATATCAAAGTCATAACACGATATTTCCCATCCTCCCCCGAAATTTATTTTGTCCATTCTTTATCCTACTTTTGTGCCCTTTGCAAACCAAATACATCAAAGGACCGTTGGTCCCCCTTTTTGGAGAAATGTCTAAACCCGTAAAAAATGCCCCCATGGGGAACTGCTTCTATGAGGCCTGGGGTTCCTTTTTTTACAAACCCGCATAACATTTCTTGAACCTTGAAAAATTTCCCCGAAAAGAAGGGTACTGGTCGTCCTGCCCGAGAAAAACTGCAAACAATGGGAATGTCCCAAAAAATCCGGTTTTTCCCCTTCGAATGGTAGGAAACCCCCCCCCATCATGGCTTTAAAAATACGGTTTTCAAAGTCCTTTTTTGAAAAGTATGGAAAGCGGCTTCTGCTTTCCTTTTTTCACAGGGAAAAGGGTACACTCAAAAGGGCGGACTTTACTTGAAAAAGTTTTTGATCCATTGTGAAATAATAAGCAAAGAGACCAAAGTTCTTCCGGGGTGACTTTTGTCTTTAGGCATTGGAAGTTCCCCGTAAGGCGTAACGTTCAGGGGCCCGGGAAAATTGAACCTCCTTTCCCCTACAAAAACCAAGGGTCAAAACCTTTTTGTTGAAAAAGTTGCACTTTTCCTCATTGTAACGATATTTTTCTTCTTGGGCGGTTTCCAAAAAAAATTTTCAAGGGTTTTCAACTTTTTCCTCCTGGGTTTTTGCCACAAAAGGTAACATTATCTAAATTCGCGTAAGTTCCCCCTATTTTCTCTTCCCCAATGAGTGAATCCTAATTTTTTGGGAACAGGCAAACCCCAAAGGGGACCCAAAAGGGGCTCTGGGAAACTGATACAGGGCCCTCACTAGCCTGAAACGCGTGTATTGGGTTTTTCTTTATTTTCCAAAAGGAATTATGGTAGCAAATCCCGCAGATAATTGGCTAAACACGTAGTACTGAGCAATTTTGTTCACTGTATCGTTTAATTCGAGGTAAGGGACCCAACAAGAAGTGTAAATTTTTGATTGGGCTCAGAGTAATCGATAAACCAAAACTCCGTTTCCTATAACCAACTTTAACACAACCAAACCCGTGACGCCAAAAGGGGGAAACACTCGGTTTTTATAATACCCTCCTTCCCAAACCCTAGTTTTCTTTCTCAATGAACAAACCCAACCTCATAAAAAACGGCGTGACTTAGGGTGATTTTAGGGTGGCATCCGCGGTTTAAAATTTGCAAACAGCTTTGGTGGGGGCTACCCTTTAAAATGCTAAGCCCCCGACAAAAAAGAGGGGGCATTCACCTCCAATGTTAAGGGGGGAAAACTAAACCCGCAGCTTTTAAAATCCTGACCAAGGAAAAAATCAGAGCCCAAAAAAGTTTTGGCAGAATTTGCTAAATGTACATCTTTAAAATCCTTTCCTTTAAAATCTGAAAATTTACCTTTTCAAAAAACCCCAAGGTCCCGAATAGAAGAGTTTTGAAGCCATGGAAACGGTACCTATGAGTGGTGAGAGTCAAGGAGAGCCGTTTTTCTAAGTCAAGGTTTGATGAAAAACTCTCCCGAGCGCCACAAAAAATAAGACCCTCTACTTCTTTTTTCCTTTGATGAAAAATTTCACAACTCCTTTAAAAGTGAAATTTTTGTAGCCCCAGAAGTCACTGTTGCTAAGGGCGCATGATCAACGGGGAAAGTTGGGCAATAGCCCTTGTTGATGGGATTAACACGACAAAAAATTAGCAAAGTTTACCTTTTTTGTGGGGATTTATTGGGACCTTGCTTTACGAGCAGGACACTTTGGACTTGGGGTCTTAAAAAAAAAAAAAAAAGAAACACACCGTACCTGCTGCTGGGTGTCACGAGGCAGGGTTTCCCCCGTAACTTTTATTGCAAGAGGCTTGGTCCGGAAAATTTCAGCCCCTTCCCCCCTCAGAAGGGTGATGGGACTGTAAACTTCCAAAAATTTTTCGGGCTGAATCTAGAGCCTTTTCCTGGTCAAAGGCAAGGGGTAAGTCCAAGTTTTTTCCCAATAAACGCTTTCCTTATTTTTTGGTGATTTCAGGGCCCCGATAAAAGCATCCCTGATTGGAAATTTCACAAACTGACACGTCACGCTTGGAAGTTTACAGTCCCTTTCCTAAAAAAATTTAAAATGCTTGAAATATTCCTTTTAAGACCCTTTAATCTGCGGCGGCGAGTTGCAAGGGGGATTTGCGTGCAAAGGGTTTCATTTGTAGGTTTTAATATACTGAGACTTGAGGGTTTTTTATAGCCTCTTTGTAGGGATT